GTAACAACAAAGTCTCCAACGGAGACGTTACTGGGCCCGCTCGAGCAAATCGACGATCAACGGGAGGGCCTTTACCTTTACCTTTACCTTTGGGACCACACCCAGCGATGCTCAGGGCTTACTCCAGTCTGTGCTCAGGGATCTTTCCTGGTAGGGCTGGGAGACCATAGAGGGTGCCGGGAATCAAACCTGGATTGGCCGCATGCAAGGAAAATTCCTTGCTGTAGTATGGGTCAAGCCTCACTCATGTTAACTGTTATGTCTAGTCCCTACACCAGAGTGCATCTCATGGAGGGACTCACTGTTCCTGGCTCCTAGAACATTGCCTGGTGAGTGCCCTCATTCTTACATGAACAAAAGGACTGTGTGTGTGTGTGTGTGTGTGTGTGTGTGTGTGCATGTGTGTTCATGTGCAGACCTATTTAATATAGAGTCACTTGGAGACCCTGGACACTGTGCTATGTGCGTCTGCATATTCCTTCATGTTTACTTTTTTATTTCGGTTCGATTTTTGGGTCACTCATCCAGCAATGCTCAGGGGGTTACTCCTGGCTCTACAATCACGAATCACTCTTTTTGGACTTGGGATGCCGGAGATGGGGCCCAGTTTGGCCATGTACAAGAGAAATGCCCTCCTGGCTGTACTATCGTCCTGGTGCCCTCCACGTCTATTCTTTAAAGCTTTCCTCTGGGAAGGCTATTCCCAGGGACCCTCGTTTTTTTAAAAAAAAAATTTATTAGTGAATCACCATGGCGTACAGTTACAAACTTACGAACTTTCGTGTTTGCATTAGTCATACAATGATCATTTACCCATCCCTACACCAGTGCCCATATTCTCCCCCACCAATGTTCCCAGCATCCCTCCCACGACCCCCACCCCATCCCACACCACCCCACCCCATCTCAGCGGCAGGACACTCCCTTTTATTCTCTCTCCTTTTGGGTGTTGTGGTTGCAATAGACGTATTGAGCGGCCATCATGTTTGGTCTGTAGTCTACGATTGGCACGCATCTTTCAACCCGAATGGGTCCTTCCAACATCCTTTACTTGGTGTTCCCTACTCTATCTGAACTGCCTTTTCCCCCAGCACGGCCGGTTTCCAAAACATGGAGCAGACCTCCTGGTCCTTATCTCTACTACTCCTGGGTATTAGTCTCCCATTCTGTTGGCCCCCTCATTTTTAAAGGTGATGTAATCCTAAAGGACACAATGCCAGAATCTTTGAGCTTCTCTGGACCTGCACAAACTTAAATGACTTGAAAAACAGGACTTCCTTGAAATGGTAAAACTACAGCATAACCCAACCTAATAAATGTTTTATCATATGCCTACAGAATGTCATCAATTGTTAATTAATGCTTTTCATTCTGACAACTTCTTTTATTATAAATGGGCTGTTCATAAGACTTTCATTACGTTTGAAAATAATTTGTAGCTTAGATTTTTTTTAAACTTTGGGTGTATTTTGAGAATGCAAATGAAGGTCCATGGAGGGTTGAGAACTCGTGGATTGATACCGTGAGTGGATTACTCTTAGCCAGATAATTTCCAAAGTAAACATCTTAAGATGACCTCACACTATTTTACAGTGATATGTGGTATTTCATGTAGCAATTCTGTTCACATAAGTAATTGATTTGCTGTGGGAACAGATAGTATATTGAAGAGGGTGCTTTTCTTGCATGCAACCAGTCCAATTCGATCCCTAGCACCCCATACTGTCCCCCAAGCACTTCCAGGAGTGACTCCTAAGCGTAGAGCCATGATCATGCCCTGAGCGTCGCAGGGTGTGGCCCCCCCAAAAGCAGAACAAAACAAATCGAAGAAAGGAATTAATTTGCTGCTGGACCATGACAAGTCACCACTTAGGACCAGGATTGTAGCTCAATGGTAGAGCACTGCCTTTCACACGTGGCATCCCGGCTTCATTTCCTGGAACCACAAAGGGGCAAAAGGAGGCCCTTAAAATGAACTTTACATAAGCCCACCTCCCCGAAACTTATCCCGGCCAAGTGTTCTTCCTTTTTCACCTCCTTCATTGCCATGGACCTGGGCACACACGGCTGTGTGTATGTTGGTGATTGGACAAGGTGAAGTTAGGAGGAAACCAGCGATCCTGCACATCACCACTAGGTGGCGCCACAAGCCCACGACGGGGGTTCGCAGCCTGGAGGGAAGGTGCCCAGGAGGCTGGGGGCGGGGGGGGGGGGGGGGGGGGAGGCGGGCCCCCACCACTGACGCCTCCCAGGTAACCACTGGTCTTGTGTTCATCCCCACAGCGACAAGGTTGGCTCCTGGGCCGCCTGTCTCCTGGGGTTTAACCTCCATCTGTCTCTGCCTCTCCCACAGGCTCCTTCTCATCAGAATCTTCTGCTTGCCTTGTTTATTGTTGGTTGCGTTGTTTTTGGAGGGTGTGGGGGTGCTAGGCCACACCCGCAGTGCTCAGGGCTTAGTCCTAGCTCCGCGCTCAGGAATCCTGGTGGGATTGGGAACCATATGGGATGCAGCGGGGAATATGTTCGAGCCTGGGCTGGCCACGGGCAAAGCAAGCTCCTTCCCTGATGCACCATCTCTCCAGCCTTCGCTTCTGCCCTCAAAGTTGTGCCTGCACCCAACCACCCGAGGAAGGGGCCAGGAGGAGGGGAAGTCACAGTCACCACCCATGGGAGCAGAACCAGAGCCCTGGGAACAGAGTGTGGCCTGAGGGAGGGGGAAATTCTGTCCTCTGCCAGCTGACTTCACATCAGGTGGGTTGAAGGGACGAAATACACCCCGCCCCCTAATGGTCACAGACGGGGAAGCTCCGTCCTCTGAGGCTCACTGTCCTGGGCTAACTGTCCTGGGTGCTGGCCTTGCCAAGCTGAGTCACCCTCGCAGGCAGGGGCATTGCACCCACTCACACAGCACCTGAAGAGTGCTGTCTCCCCTAAACATCACGAGGGTCCTTCCACCCCTGTAATGAATGGGTCCCCATCTCCCCCAAGAGGTAATCTCCTCCCGAGACTAAGCTGTGCTCCCCAGGGCAGTCTGGGGGCAGGCACTTCCCCACCCAAACTCAGTCCACACGTCCTGGGGTGGGGGGGACCATGTGTGGGGGTACAGGCCCTCCTGTGAGGCTGGGCGGGCACAGCAGAGTGGAAGAGTTCTAGCAGGAGGCGCAGTGGAGACAGCCCCCAGGTGTGTGTGGGGGGGCGCTGCAGAGCACATTAGCCCAGTGGAAATTAAAGGTCAGGGGTCCGAGAGGGAATACTGGACAGCAGGGAGGGGGTCCACGGAAGGCAGACAGGCAGGGGCCACGGGCAGACACGCCTGCTGTGGTGATGCCTGTGCAGGGGCCGCTGCACAGAAGGGCCAAGGGGACACGGCTGGATGGGCAGAGACCTGAGCCCCTGGTTTCACACTGGCCGGAGCTTTGTGCCGAGGGAGCTGGGGAGGGGCTGGGGTCTCCTGGAGGAGAGGCCTTGGCGGGCTTCTCACTCTTAGAAGCAAGTCTCGTTCCCTGGAGCAGACAAGTCAAAAGCCATCTTCTCTTTCCGTCTAGGTTTAGGCTCAAGCACTGGGGGAGAGCAGAGGGCAGGGGCCAGTGGAGACACTGACCTGTACATCGCAGGGGCGCAGGGCGATCTGAGGGCAGGCACAACCCCACTGTCAACCCCTGCCCCCAAGTCCCAGGTCTCTCTCCCAAGATGAAAGCCCTTAGTGGGCAAATGAGCTCAGGACCCTCCGCTCTAAGGACCATTAGCAGCCCTGAAGCCAAAGACAGGCCCCCACTGGCCAGGTGGGCACAGGGTTGTGGTATGTTCGGGATAATGGCAGAGCCAGAGAGCAGAGGGCCTGGACCCCTCGAGAAAGGGGTCACTTCAGCAGAACAAAACACCATGGTAAGAACATGACACACGGAAAGCTCCACGGGAGTCCCTTGCCACCACCCTGGATCTCACTGGACCTCACTGGCACAGAGGACCCTGGGCTCAGGGAGCCTGAAGAAAACCCAAGCGGGTTGTCCAGCCGCTGGATTATATATATTGCTTTTTGGGTCGGACTCTGCCCTCAGGAATTGCTCCTGGCGGTGCTTGGGAGACCATATGGGATGCTGGGAATCGAACCCGGGTCAGCCGTGTGCAAGGCCAACGCCCTAACCACTGTGCTATTATTGCTCCGGCCCCTGGAGTATATACTTTTACCTTAACTATCCGTGTGCCCTGAAACTCTTCTCTGTGAGAGCAGGCGATGAGCCTGGCAAGTCTTCTTTTCTGCAGAGAGCAGACCCTCTCCCCTGAGGCCACGGGTCCCCCCAAAACTGGTGTGGTGAGGACCAGTCCCCACGCTGAGCACATCAGGCGCTGCCTGAGCGGCTGCTGACGGGCCAGAGGAACCGCATGTCCACATCGCACAGGGCCCGGGCCGGCTCCTCCAGTGACGGGGTCTGAAAGCGGGGGCAGGGGCAGCTCCGTGTGCTGGGGTCACCACCTCCCTGTGCCCCACAGGGAACAGAGTCGGACCCCAACTACCAAGAGGATGCGGCGCCCGGGGCTCAGTGGCCTGACAGGAAGGGGGGCTGAGGGCAGTCGAGCCTGGTAGCCCTGCGCGGCTTCCAGCCCCTGCTTCTGTCGGAGACACTGTAAACATCACTTTTATTCAGTCTGGGGCCCGGGTGCAGGACAGACAAGCAGGGCTCTGCCTCAGGCAGCCCGGGCCGGCCCAGCAGCATGCAAGGCGGGGCGGGCGACAGCGTGGCCAGCTCAGGGGCTGCGGGGCAGGGGCCGCGCTCCCTCCACAGCCTCCCCAGCCCGCCCTGCCGCAGAGGCCTCTGTGCTGGCCACCTCCCCTGCCCTTCCCGCTCTCCGCTCCCGCCTGGAGCCACATGCTTTGCTCCCCCAAACCAGGCCCCGGCCAGCACTACCGTGCTGCCTCGGGGTCCCGCCTCCCTCAGGCCTGGGGCCTTGGCCCCGGAGCAGGCCGTCTCCTCAGCTGGGTCCGCAGCTCAGGGCGGGGCCCTCTGCAAAGGCCCGGGGATGGCCAAGGCTTGTCCAGAGGACCCCGGCCGGTGGGAAGGGCAGAGCAGCCTGCCTCGGCGCCTCCCGGCCTCCGCCAAATCTCCCGGTCTCCATTCACGGCCTGGGCCGGAACCAGGATCCACGGTGCAGTGCCACCTCTTCCACGGTGTCCCCCTGGCTTGATGCTGGGTGAGGGGCCGCTACTTCAGGGCCCTGAGCACTGCCTCCAGCTTCATGGCCAAGGCAAGGTCGCCCTTCACCTTCAGCCGCCCGCTCATGTAGGCGCCCAGGGGCCGCAGCTCCCGGCGCAGCAAGGCCTGCAGGTCAGCTTCGGCCAGCTCCACCACCACGTCGGGGACGCCATCGGGTGCCCCCGACCCCACCCGGCCCTGCCCTGTGGGGAAGAGAACAGCATCAGAGGGGGAGTCAGGAGCAGGGCTGGAGGGGGGGGGGGGGGGGCTGCAGGTCCCGCAGGGAGCAAGTAGGGAGTTCGGTTTCCAGGACTCTGGGTCACGCACAGTCTCTGCCTCTGTCCCATAATCCCTGCTCACTCAGGCTCCTGGGGAGCGGGTGGGCCAAGGCCAGGGGACCCTGTGCTAGCCCGCACGCACAGGGACACACAGGCACAGGCACACAGACACAGGCACACACAGACACAAAGACACACACAGACACAGAGACACACACAGGCACACACAGACACACATACACAGACACAGGCACACACAGACACATATAGGCACACACAGATACACACAGGCACACACAGACAGACAGACAGACACACACACACACACACACACGGCCCTGGTGGTGGACTCGGCAGGTTGGGTGGTCCTGCTGAGAGCAAAGGACAGAGATTGGACAACAGTCTGCAAATGGTGTCTGCCTGCTACGGACCCCTCTTAATGTCTATGTGGGTGGAGAGCCAGGGAGGATGGAGGGGCACAGGGAGGAGGGATGAGGGGAGGAGGGGCACAGGGAAGAGGGATATAGAGAGGAGGGTGCAGGGAGGGGAACACGGAGTAGGGGTATGAAGAGAAGGGGTGTGGGGAGGAGGGTGTAGGGAGGAGGGGCCCAGGCAGTAGGGCTGCGGGAAGGAGGGGCAGGGGCAGTGGCACCTGTGCTGAGGTCCAGGAAATAGACACTCTGGGAGCCGCTGGGCAGGATGACATTGAACTGGTAACAGGCCCCGACCTGGCTGACCAGCGCCTCAGACAGGAAGGGCCGCAGAGCGGACAGCAGCCCCTCAGCCACGGGCGGTGGTGGAGTGGGGCTGGGCCCGGCCCCCGGCGGCTCCACTTCATTCACCAGCTCCAAGGTATCTGCAGGGAGGGGCCGCGGAGAGGCAGCCGTGAGCTGGCCGGGCTGCCCAGTGGTGCGGGCCCAGTCCCGCTCAGCTCCCGTGTCTGCCCTGGACTTCTCAGTGTGACCCCGATGTCCCTTTCCAAAGCGGCTCCAGCCTTGGGTAGAAAATGACTTTCGGGCGACGGAGGCAGTGGCGTGGCAGGGGAGCCCGGCCACCACCCAGAAGAAGCGGGAATGGAATCTCTGGGCGCTGCAGCCCGTGCTGGGCCGAGGCGCGGGGACCCCCGTCACAGAGCCCCAGACTCGCTCAGTTCCTCCCCTGGGGCGTCTCACCTGGCCCTGGAGGAGGGGCGCCTCCTGCACCCGGCGACAGGCTGCCCCCCAGGAAGTGCAGGGCCAGCTGCTGGAGGGTGCTGTCCAGGCTGGGCCCCGCCGGGCTGTCGGGGGGCGGCTGCAGAACCGCCTCCACAGCCAGCTCCACGCGGTCCACCTCCAGGCCCCAGGCCCTGGTCACGTCGTTGATCTCCAGCTGGTGGGCATCGTGGGCGGGGGGGGGGTGGGTGGGAATAGGGTTCACTCAGTCAGCTCCTCCCGGACCAGCCTGGGTGGGCAGACTGACCTGGCACCAGGCCGTGGGTGCAAAGAGGCCCTGACCCAGGGGCAAAGGCCGCAGGTGGGGAGGGGCAGGCAGGGAGGGGGCAGCAACCACACCCCTGCACTGAGTTTACTCCAGGTGCGAGGAGCCATAGGCTGTGGACGCCGAGCACTCTCGGTGCCCGAGACACCTGCGGGGACCCAGCTGGAGGCACACGGACTCACACAGGCGGCCCCAGCCCTGGGGCTGAGTCGAGACACAAGGGGCACGGTCCGGGGGCCTCCTGCAGACACGTGAGGACAGGGGCACAGACAGATGAGGGACACGGCAGCGCAGGGGGGGTGCTAACGTGCCCCCCAATGTCTTAGTTAATGGGCGTCGGCTTTTAGGCAGCAGGATTGGAACAGGGCTGAGGGATCAGTGTCCAGTGGGGGCCAGAGGCCAGGGAAGAGGGGACTGGACAGCAGGAAGGAGTAAGTGGCAGCGTCTAGGAGGAGGGAAGGTGGGTGCACAGCGCAAGGGCCAAGGGGAGGGGGGAGGCGGGCAGCAAGGGGGTGGGCAGGGAGGGCGGGCGTCAGTGTCCAGGCACCTGGCAGGGGAGAGTGGATGGAGGGCGGAGCTGAGCCTGGGCCAAGATCCCACCTGGCACAGGGAGGGGGGAGGGGAGAGAGAGAGAGAGAGAGAGAAAGTGAGAGGGGGGAGAGAGAAGAAAGAAGAGGAGAGGAGGAAAAGAGAGCAGAGAAAGGAGGGAGAGAAGAAAGAAGAGAAGGAGAAGAGAGAAAGGGAGAGAGGGAGAGAAGAGAGAGTAGAGGGGAGGGAGAGGAGAAGAGAGAAGAAAGGAGAGAAACAGAAATGGAAAAAGAAAGAGAGATAGGCAAAGAGATAGAGAGAGAGGAAGACAGAGACAGAGAGGAGAGAGAGAGAGGCTCCAGCAGGCAGGAGGAAGCTGGAGTCCAGGCAAATCATGGAGTGCTTTGCACTCCACAATTCAGTTAAAGGGTATCAGCTGTCCAGGCGGCAGCTAGACAGCTGTAGAGACTGCAGTGCCCTGATGCCATGAAAAGCCGCAGCTAGCTTTAAGTCTCAACTAGGCCTCAGTTTCTGTTTCCCCAACGCAGAACCTGCAGTTTCTGGTAAACTCCCAGTTGAGTAATTTGCCTAGATAATTTGCCTAGGCACCGTGGGATGCCTGCCGCAGGAGTGGTCGGAGTGGGGGAGGCTCGCTGGGGTTCACTGACCCGGGCTGGCCACGGGCCTCTGGCCTACCAGGAGCTGGTCGCTGATCTTGAGCTTCTCCATCTGGATCTCCCGCAGGGGCCGCTTCAGCAGGGCCTTGGTCATGGCGTTCTGGGCCGTCATGCGCGTGGCCGTGTTGAGGTCCTTCACGGTCATCACCGACAGCACGGGGTCCCAGATGCGGAACTGGACATCGGCGCCCACAGACAGCACAGCCCCATCCTTAGAGGCCAACTGTGGGGGTAGGTGAACACGAGGAGACGCCCAGGGAGTTGACAACGGGGGTCAGGTCCAAGGGGACTCCCCAGCCTGACGTCCCCGACCCCCCCCCCCATAGTCCCTGCTCCATGGGGCAGACTGGAGTCCCCAGGTGAACGGGGCCAGGCCGACAAAGCCACGATGGCCTCCCCGCCACCAGCCCCAATTTCCCATGTCGTGTCATTGGCATCTCCACCCCCCACCAAGGGCCCAGACAGCCACAATCCACCCTGCCCGTGCCCACCCTCCCTCTGCCAGGCAGAGAAGCCGTCACCTTGCACGGGGGGACGTTGAAAGCTCGGGTCCTCAGATCCACCCTCTGGAACGAGTCGATAAAGGGCAGAAGCAGAACCATGCCCGGCCCCTGCGGGGTGCGAATCCGGCCCAGCCGGAACACGATCATCCTCTCATAGGTGGGTACGATCTGTCCACAGGGCCGGGAGAAAGGGCCAGCTGGCAAGGGCATCTGCCCACTCCCTCTCCTCCCCGCTCGCCCCTTGCCCCGGTCAGTGTTAAGTGAGTAGGGTCAGCTCTGGGTTTTTGGCTCCGCGCTCAGGGATCACTCCTGGTGGGGGCTGGAATCATATGGGGTGCAGGGAAATCAAACCCGGGTCAGCCACATGCAAGGCGAGCGCCCTCCCCACTGACCTATCTCTCCAGCCCTCTCAACTCTGTGAATGAGAAAAAACAAGGCTCAAAGAGGTTAAGCGATCCACTCGGAATCACACAGCCCCAAAGCGAGCGAGACAAGTAAGATCTGGAAGCAGATCTGACTGTGTGAGGGCGAAACCGATGCCATGACCAGCTGCAGCTAACGTCAAGCCTCAACTAGGCCTCAGTTTCCGTTTCCCCAAAGCAGAACTTGCAGTTCCTGGCAGACTCCCGGTTGAGTAATTTGCTGAGAAAAGGAAATAGGCAGTCGGGTCTGGCCAGTCATGAAAGGTTACTGTACCCTCCTTAGAAACTGTTACTAACCCTTTCCTAACTGCTGACCAAGAACACTGTAACAGGGCTGATGCTGTAATGTTTCCAACACTGTAATGGGGCTGATGCTAAAAGACAGACCAGTATATAAATTGCTTCTTAACTCTGAAACCTTTACAAACTGCTTGTCAGTTGGAGTCGGGGTCCTTGTCAAGACTCCTCTGCGTTGGATGAGACTTGGACCCTAGCTCCAGCTAGCAATAGTTCAAGCTAGTAATAGCTCCTCTGCTTTCGCATTATTGTGTGTGGTCTCTCCGCAATTGGGGATCTGAAACTCGGGCACAACTCTGATCCCCAGAGACCCGTGTCACTCTGTGGTCTGAAGCGGGATGCGTCTCAAAGCAGACACCGGGACCCCTGCGCTCGGGCCAGGAGAGAGGCGGAGCGGCTGAGCAGCACCAGGGCCCGGAGTTCTCAAAGAAGCAAATACAGCGGGACTCGGGCAAAGACCCCAAGAGGCAAACTGACGCACGGGAGCCTTGTGGACAGCAGGTTTGAGCCGGGGGCGGGGGGCAGCGGGGGCCTCATGGGAAGGGGGGCGTTCTGGGCCGTCCTTCACGCCCGATCGAGGTCACCAGCTGCCCCCCACGAGCGGCTCTCCGGCACGGCCACGACTCCAGAGCACAGAAACCAATCTCTTAACTATCTAACTTTTAATAGAAATACTTCCAGGGTTAATAAGTGAAACAGCAGAAATCCAAAACCACGCGGCCGCAATAGCGGCCGCGCGACATCATTTTATTCTTAAACACAGCTGTAGAAAGCAAATCATTTCACAACACTGTTGCAGCATATCTGATTGGGGGGGGGTCGTAAACTCTAAACAATAATTGTGTATCTTCTATCGAAACAATGTATCTAGTCAAAGTAGATAGAGTATTAACTAGAACTCATCTGCCTCACAGGAATTGGGAGGGGTGGGAGGTGGGGTTCTATTGGGGTTCACGGTTAAAAGTAAGTATTGGTAAAGGGAAATGTGTTCGATGCTTACATGACTGAGACCTAAACCTGAAAGCATTGTAACTTTTCCCACAGTGATTCAATAAAGAAATAAACTATTAAAAAAAAAAAAAAAGGCAAACTGACTGGCACAAGCTCAGGATTTTGTGTTGGGGTGAGTTTTTGGAGTAGGAAGCTGACACTCCTAAGGACACTCTGCTAGGCCAGCCCAGCGCACCGGGCATTGCATCTGCACGGGCTCTAGCTCCCTGCACCTGCAGGCAACACCCCGCCCACAGTGCACCCCCTTCCTGGCACAAGCCCTGGGGAAATGGGGCCTGGGTTTCTTTGATTCATTCCCTGCTGGGCCAGAATGAAGTTTCCTTTTCTAACTTAGTCTAAGCCAAAAGGGAGGGTGACTTGGCAGAGACACAGGGCTGCTCCCTGAAGCCAGAGAGCAGGCCTCAGCACTGAGCACCTGGGAAGGTGCGTTTCTCTGACCCACTGGCGCCCACCAAGACTCAGGGCAATACTGAGCCTCCTTTTCCTCTCCTGGAAGATGGGGATAAGCCATCTCTGCCCAGTCCACTGAACAGGGGTGGGATAATACAACACTCCGGAGCCAGGGCAGAGAGCAGAAAATCTGTCCCTCAATACCAAAGCTCCTCGCAGTCCATCCACCCTGTGAGCTGCCCTGGCCAGACTTACCTTCAGGGCAAACCAACCAGAGACGGGGAAGGTGACCAGCAGCAGCAGGAACCCCAGGAAACTGATGACACCATGGCAGAGGCAGGACGGCCAGCTCTGGGGCACCTCTGAGGACAAGAACGCAGAGACGGGTCTGGCTAGTCGCTGCAGCAACAGGACCCCAGTTCCGCAGACACTCCTGCCCACCTCCCCCCTCCAGAAGCTCATTCCCCCTCGGTACTCCCGATTTGCTTTCTTGTCTAGAACTAGCCTGCAGGCAGGGGGCAAACAAGAACTAACGGACCCAATCAGTCCCCCATTCCACCGTCACCAGGCCCATGCAGCAGCCACAGAGACATCCACGGATTCAATCCACAGATGCTCTCTCTTCTGTGGGCGATGCAAAAGTCTGGTCCCGTCCTTGCCCGATTTACTCTGCTGACCCATGCCGGGCGCAGAGCCAGGAGTACCTGGGCATCTGGAAACACCAGCTGGCTTAAACTGGATGTCACTGGCCATAATACAGGTTGGGCCCAAAAGGTGATGCAGTTGTGGCTTATCAACAGGAGCCGTAGGTAAGGGTGAAGATGCTCTCTCCAAGTTCACAGTTCTTTTTTTTTTTGCAGGGGGGGGAGGGGAGGGGAGGGTGCCACATTGGTGGTGCTCAGGGGGTTACTCCTGGCTCTGCACTCAGGAATTACTCCTGGCAATGCTCGGAGAACCACATGGGATGCCGGAGATCGAACCCGCTGGGATGTCCGTGTGCAAGGCAAGTGTCCTCCCTGCCTTCGCTCCAGCCCCAGGCTCACAGATTTTTCACCCCTCTTGCATGCCCATAGCTGCGTCACCAGTCAGGGTCCCTGGAGTGGAGGAGAGTGTTCCAGAACCCAGGAGCTCTCTGAGGTTATTGTCTACTCCCCCATCCCTCTCTCCAACTGGGGAAGGTGCCTCTGCTCCACCCTCCCAGGAATCCCAGACCCTGGCTCTCCAAGGCTCGGACAATAAGTTCCTTTCCCCGCTGGGCTCTGGCCCAGTAGCCCCTGCAGCCAAGGGCCCCCCTGGCTAGAGGCAGCTGTCTCTAGTTAGTAAGGGCCTGGGAGAGAGCAAATGTTCCACCGGGCATCAGTCAGCTAGAAAGGGGAAGCCGGACCGAGGGCTACCGGGACCCTCCGGGCTTTGGGGCACGCCCAGATTAGAGTGGACACAACGGACGGTCGGGGGAATGGGCTGCTCGGGCGCAGGGCTTTGGGGAGGCAGCCGCCAACGGGAGGAGGATTGTGCCATCCCTCCGCAGCCGCGTGTCCTTTGCAAACGGGTCCCCCCACCTCTGCCCAGGCCTTGACATCCTCCTAAAGAGGAATGAAGCCCCCTCCTCGCCTAAAGGGCTGCTACGAATCGGGGGGAGACACAATGGGGCGAGGTTTGCTGGGCGCTCCGGCGCAGGGCGGGTCCCCTCCGGCGATCCCTGCCATCCCTGCGGTCCCCGCGACCCTGGCCAGGCCCGAGCTCACAGCGCCTCGCGAGGACCAGGGTCTGCGGGTGCGGACGGACCCCCCACCCCGCACCCCGGCCCGCCCTGCTGGGCGGCCACTCACCGGCCCCCGGCCCCCCGGCGCCCCGCTCCGGGGACAAGCAGCCCTTCTGCGCGCCCAGGAAGCCGAAGCTCGACTGCTGGAAGCGGTCGAAGTCCCCCAGGGGCAGCGCCCGGTAGCCCGACCGGCCGAGCATAGCCGCGACCCGCCAGCCCCGCGTCCGCGCCCCGCAACCCGCAACCCGGGCAGCGCCGCAGCCGCGCCCGCCCCGCCCCGCCCCTGCGGCCCCGCCCCTGCGGCCGCCGCTTCCGCTTTCACCTGCGGGGCGGGCGCGGCCGCTGCCCACAGCGCCCTCTGCGTCGGGAGGACCGAACTGCGGCCGTGCGGAGTGGACGGACTGAGTTCTCGCGTCCAGGACTTGTGCTTTCCTCCCTGTGCTCTCTCGGAGTCTTAGAAAACCTGTAGGAGGGAAAGCTGGGCTTTGTCAGGGATTTGCACACACACGCATATCCCCAGGAACGCAAGCAACTCCAGAAAGACCAGTAGCCCCAGCTTTTCTTCAAATTCCCAGAGTGGGTGGAGGCTCAGGTGGTGGGGGGGTCCTGGTCTAGAATTTGGGTGTCTCCGGGAACTGTCACTGTCACTGTCCTCCCGTTGTTCATCGATTTGCTCCAGCGGGCCCAGTAGCATTATGAGACTTGTTACTGTGTTTGGCATATTGAATACGACACGGGGGGAGCTTGCCAGGCTTTGCCCTGTGGATGAGATCATCTCAGTAGCTTGCCGGGCTCTCCGAGAGGGGCAGAGGAATCGAACTCAGGTCAGTCGTGTCGGCCACGTGCAAGGCAATACGCCCCTACCTGTTGTGCTATCGCTCCAGCCCTTCTCCAGGAAATAGTGAGCAAATGATTGTGCTTTGCTCAGCAATAAGGGTCTGACGCCAAATGACTTCCAGAACAGTGGTAGGCTCCGAAATAGATACCTTTCATGCAGAAACCAGAGCGCGGGGCCAGAGATAGCACAGTGTTGGTGAGGCCCTTGTCTTGCACGAAGCTGACCCAGGTCCGGTCCCCCAGTATTCCGTATGGTCACCAGAGCACACCAGGAATGATTTCTGAGTGCAGAGACAGAAGTAAATCCTGAGCAAAGCCAGGAGTGGCACCCCCAAAAATCAAATAAGATATCAAAGCTAACCTACCTTTACATGCTTCAGAAATTGTTGCAGGTGACTTATGTGAAGTGGGGACAGGAGAGGCTGTGTAAACACACAAAAAAAAAGGACCGGAGAGGGGCCTATCTCTCCCGCATTCGGTAGCCTCAGGCCGTTTCCCCACTCCAGGGAGGTCAATGGCAATGGTCAGGAGGAGGAAGGAAACAAGGGCCAGGCTGGTTGGTCTTAGCAGCAATTTATTACATGGAAGAGATGTACGTCATGGAGGCCCCAGGATCTCTCAAGCACATGCTCCTTTGTTCTCTCAGCTTCTGTCCTCAGCCCCATCTTCCCAGGTTCTCTGACACACATGTCCCCCCAGAGAGCCCTGAAATCACCCTTATATAGATCATAGTACCTCTAAAGGGCGCAATATAGTGATGTCATCAAAAGGAGTTACAGAAAGAACATTGAGGCAGCAAGCCATACGTTGTTTCTTTACATCCAGGCCAGTAATCCTGGCCTCACCTTTTACAAGCTACAAGCACTTGGATTAGCACATCAAAGACCAATCTGCTAGAGCTTGGAGTCTACATCTCAAAGATCAGCCTGCCTGGAGCCAGGCATCTACTTCTCAAAGATCAGGCCTGGCTTAGCACCTGGGATCTGCAGACCTAAGACTAGCTAGGTTCCTATGAGATAAGGGAAACTGCCTCAATATACTGAAATCATTTACTGAAGGCAGTTTGAAGGGGAGAAAAGGTCAGTCTCATCCAAGCTAGTCAGGACACACAGGAAAACTGCTTCTAGGACAGATTCTCATTTAGCAGATCAACTCACACTAGAACAGAATTCCCTGGGTGTGTTTCTCCTCTCCTTGTCCGACCAACATATAAGCATGCATAATATAAATCATTTTGTATGGACACAGTAAGAAATACTTTGAGCTTATAGAATTGCTCTCCTAGGGCCATCTCAATCTCAGACTGCAGTGCTCAGGCCAGATATCTTTCCTATTCCTAGCAGCAGGGTCCTAGTCTCGTCATTACTTTTGGATCATGACAGCATTTGCCTATGATCAAACTCTTAACCGATAGTTAAGAATTGTGGCACCTTGGCCTGGCCCATCGCGATGCCAGGGTAGCACATAACTTACCGGCTTGCCCTGGTTCCATTCAGTCCCACATCGGGACCCTGCCCTTGAGGTGCTAGGAAGTGAGGACAACTGAGGCTTAAGTTGAGAAATCAGATGCCAGGGAGTGAATAACATTCAAAGCCAATTAAGTCCCAAGTTATAAAGCATAATATTAATTGTCTTCCTGTATCTATACAAAAAGGCCATTGTATTAAACTATTCAAAAAACATAAGGAGAGGAGAAAGGCAATATTAACTTACAGTACAGCTTCAGTGTCTAAGAAGGATGAGACCTTACAAATTGGTTGGGGAAGAGAGCATAGAAGTGGTTACAGACAAACAAAGTAATGGGGGTGACTCGGGAGCACTGTGATGGGTGCGACCTGAAAAACCAAAGCTCCGTGTACTCCAACAGAGGCCAAAAAGAATTCCAGAGAGGAGATGATTAGTGAGGTAAAATGAGTTTATTTGGGGACCATGAGAGCAGAGAAAGAGTTTTGTGCTCAAGAAAGAACACCAGCTCCTACAGAGTGAGGAGAGCCAAGTATACACCCTCAGGATGGAAAATGGGTGCCATAAATCCAAAGAGAATTCACATCTTAGAGATGTAGAGATGTAAGTGGCCCAGATTGGGGAAAACATGCATCTTTGCCAAGTGGTTTCCCCAAAACCTGTTGCTGGGGTTGTTCCTTGTACATGGGGGAGCGTGGAACCTTTAATGGCCTTCTCTGCTGGCCTTAGTTCCAGCATCCCAGCATTTCCTCCCAGAGCCCAGAGGATGCTCTGGGCCTGAAACTCTGCATCTTTTTTTTTTTTTTAATTTTTATTAGTGAGACACCATGAGGTACTGTTTTAGACTTACAAATTTTTGTGCTTGGGTTTCAATTATACAATGATCAAATACCCATCCTTCCACCAGTACCCATTTCCCACCACCACGGATCCCAGTATCCCTCCCACCCCCCATCCTCCTCATCCCACCCTGCCTCTGTGGCAGGGCATTTCCTTCTGTTCTCTCTCTCCTTTTGGGTGTTGTGGTTTGCAAAAGAGGCAATGTGAAACTCTGCATCTTAAAGGGTTTCTGGACTTCCCCAATGGGTCTTGTGTCTAAAAACCCTTTGTGCTTTTGAGTTTGTGTCTTCTTTTTTCTTCTTTTTCTCAGAGACATTAGTATCTGCTCCAATTTACATGACCAGGCCTCCTAGCTCTCTCTTTACCTAAAGCAAAATGAATTTACTTTAAGAAGCAATAACTTTCAACAGGAAGTTGGAGCAGGCTGTCTGGCTTCTAAAGAGAGCAAAGAAACTTTATTTTATTATTATTTTTTTTCCTTTTTTCGGGTCACACCGGTGATGCACAGGGGTTACTCCTGGCTTTGCACTCAGGAATTACTCCTGGTGGTGCTCAGGGAACCATATGGAATGCTGGGGATCGAACCCAAGTCAGCCCCGTGCAAGGCAAACGCCCTACCCACTATACTATCGCTCCAGCCCCTAGAGCAAAGACATTTTAAATGTTTCCTATGTCACTTCCCTGCCTGTCCCAGTAGCCCCTGGCCTTGAGGCACAGCCCACTTGAGAAGGATTCCCTCTAACACCCCAGAGAACAGAGGGCAGGGCAGACTCCAATTCTTAGTTAACCAGCCTGTAGCAAAGGTGACATTCTGTTCTCCCAGAGTCTCTGACAAAGTTCCCCCTCTGCATCCGGCAGTCACTCTCCTAGATCTGCCACCGCCGAGGTGTCAGAGACCCAATAGGTCTTGGGAACAGGCTGCTACCGCCCATAGAAATGATCCCTCTGCTTTATCCCTAGCCCAGTCCTTGCAGACAGCATGTGTTTCCCTCTTAAATCCGAAAGCGACTCGAATCTTCTGCTTCAAACCGTTGCCTTGCTATCTTAAGTGCCCGCGCACCCCTGAATCCTCAGTGAACTTCCTTTGCTCCTTCAAGCCCCGCTGAGCCAGGCTTTCAGCCAGTGCCAATAATGCATAAAACGTAAAAAAAAAAAAAATCTCGATTTTCAGAGGTCGGTCCTGCCGTTCGGTCTGAGGTTTTCCCGTCTCAGTGCTCCAAGCCCTTTCCCTTCTGCCCTCGCTGGGGTTAGCGGTGGTGGGAAAGCGGGGCCCGAGGGAGCGGCCCGGACGGGACGGACGGCTCCGGGGCGCGCTCCGGCTCCGCTGCGCTCGCGTTGCGCGCGGGCCTCCGGGCGTCTCCGCCTCTCCCCGGGCTTCTACCTCCCCGCGGGGTGCTCGCAGAGCCCGCCCCGCTCGGGCCTCACTTCCTCCCGGGGCCGTGGCCCCCGTAGGCTCCTCCCGTCCGTCCGTCCGGGAGGCTGCGGTGGGTGCGCGGTGTGACGCGCGCCTCGGGCTGAGTTTCGTCCCCGCCCGCCAGGCTCCCAGGCGAGAATCGAAACCGTGCTGGGCTGCACGCGGAAGGAACCCGCACCCGCGCCGACTCGCAGCGCCCTGCAGGACTCTGCACGGCCCCGCAGGCCCACCATGCGTCGGTCCGAGCCCCTCTCCGAAGGCCACCCGTCCAACCCCAGCGCCGCAGAGGTACTCCCGGGTTTGGGGGTGCCCCTGGGGGGTCGCGGGAGAGAATGTAAACTTCGATGGTTCGCTCTGGCTGGGGAAAGGTGGGAAGACGGGGGGCTTTGGACAAGTACCCCAAGGAGTGACCCAAAGCGAGAAGCCCGGACAGTGGGGACTTTCTGCAGGCTCTCCGCAGGGGCCGGGAGCTCCCCGTGCTCTGTTCTCCACCGGCACCCGTTGGCTGACCCTCCCCAGAGGAGCTGCGGACTCTGTGCTCTGTCCACTTTGTGACTTGTGCCCTGGTCCCTGCCTTGGGAGAAGGACCACAGATTGGGGAGAAGGGAGCTGGCTTGCTTCTCACTTGCTTCACAGAAGGTAGTCGCCTCGCATCCCTGCGCTTTCTCCTCCTTATTCTCCTGAACCTTCCTTTCCAACACTTGCCCGCCGATTCAGACTCTTAGGGGCTCATTTATTGCGTCCTTCTGGAAGCTGCCACCCTCTCTCTGTCCCTGGACAAAGCCCCCCTCCCCCCACCCCCAGCAATTACCTCCAAAGGCCAGGCTTCATCCCTGCTCTGCTCTTCCAGACTTCCCTGCTCACCCACATGAAGAAAACAGCACTGTATTGTCATAACTCTTATTACTTATGCAACTAGGAATCTTATTATTTGATCATGCTACATTTACGAACTCCTCACATGGACCAGATAGTCTATGAAGTACTTCAACTTTCCATTTCCTATGGGGACAATTGAGTCGCAATCAGTTCACTGTGTTATGACGGCATCCTGTATCTCTAGAACGTCTTATCACCCTGAGCAGATAATCTGTGCTCTCTGAGCAATAGCTCATCTCCCCACTAGCCCCTGGGAATGTGTTCTTGACTCCCTGTACCTGAATTTACCTACTCTAGCTAATTTATATGACATTTGTCTTTTTGTGTCTGACTTATTTCACATAGCCTAATGTCTTCAAAGTTTCATCCAGCTATAGCACATGTCAGAACTGCCTTTCTGTTTTAAAGACCTCTTTGATGTGCATGACACATTTTCTTACGTGTTTATCTGTGGTGGGCATTAGGGCTATTTGCACCTTTTGGCTGTGTGGTTAATGCTGCTGTGAACTGATGTCCCTTGTCTGAATGTTTCTAGTGAGGGGAAGATAATCTCTAGGAGTAAGAGGACTGACTCCTATGGGAACTCTATTTAACTTTGACCCAACTCTAGTAAATACTTCATATGAGGTGGTGCCTAACGTACCTGTTTTCTAAACGGAAACCCCTTGCAGGCAGGATTGTATTCTGTACACCCTTGTGTGTCAGGGCTGAGACTGTGTCTGATGAGAAGTAGATATTCAATAAATTATGAAGTGAGAGGGGGAAGCCTGGATAAATAAGCAGGTGGGTCTGGATAGGTCTGGGGGTTGCCTCACATTGTGGCTGGAGAGAAAATAAGGTGGGTTGGGCTCGGGAGTGATCTCCGAGCACAGAGCCAGGGGTATGTCTTGATCACAAACAGATGTGGCCCCAAACCAAAACTGAAACCAAATCACAGCCAAAAAGCCCTTCTGGAAGTCTGGAATAGTACAAACCAAATCCCAGCGGGCCTCTAGCCTGGGGATCAGATGCTGGGTTCGTGGGGACTCTGGGGACTTCCTGCCTCACCTGCCTCTCTGGTCCCCCAGCAACCCACCTCGGAGGAATTCCAGTTCCTGTACTGCCAGAGCTGCAACGACGAAGCCAAGTGCCCCAAACTGCTGCCTTGCCTGCACTCGCTGTGCTCGGGATGTCTGGAGCAGCACCGTTCGCAGTGTTCCATCTGTAACGTGCCTGGGGCCCCGGACACCGATCAACCCGTCCTAGATAACATATTCTTCGAGAGTCTGCAGCGGCACCTGTCTCTGCACCGGCAGGTCGTGGATGAGAAGGCCGCTTGCACTCGCTGCAAGAACCCGGCTCACTTCTGGTGCTCCCAGTGTGAGCAGCTCCTCTGCCCCAGGTGCTGCGAGGCACACGGGTACTACCTGAAGCATGAGACGCAGCGCCTGGAGGAGGTCCGCGCACAGCCGGTGCGCCAGTTCCTGCAGAGCATGCGCAAGACCAACAACATCTTCTGCTCTCATCACAGGCGTCACTCCAGCCCCATGCCGACCAGGTGAGCATGCGCCTGGGATGGGGTGCAGCCGCCGGATGCAGGGGTACAGAGAGCAGAGTCGAGGAGACCCAGAGTCGGGGCTGGGAAGAGGAACTTTAGGCTGCAGTGCCGGCGTCCACAGCATGGGTTAGCAGATGGCCACAAGTTAGGGTTTCCCATGCGGGACGGGAGTATTACTTGATTTCTTTCTACTAAAATGCCGCAACAGGAATCATCTTTGCATGCTTTTCTGCTCATATATATATATATATATATATATTTAGGATCAAGTTTTAGAAATGTTGTGGCTGAGTTGAAGCAATTTTGCATTTTTCTATGTGCTGCCTTTCTGCTTTTTAGAAAGTCTCAGAAAGGCATTTCCCACAGGTGGTTCCTGAAACCTCAGAGCGGCTGGATTCTAGGGTGGGCTGCAGGTGGTTAATTTCCGTCTGAAAAGTCAACGGTAAAACGCTGTGCTCTTTAGAAACATGTGAACATGTGAGAAAAGTCAGATCTAGACAGCATTAGTAACTTACATGAGATGGTGTTTTAGATACCTAATGCATGTGTGTAAGTTTCCAAAACTCACAAAATTTATTTTAAAAAGTCTAAATCTCCTTTCCACTCTGTCCCATGGCCCTGGTCATCGAGGCTACTTCTCCCCCTACCCCTCCTGTGAAACGCTTTGCTTCCAGGTGTAAATCGGTAAGCGGAAGGACATATATAATCTCCTGATGCCTTTTTGTTCCTCTTTCACAAGTTTTCCACATCCTGTGAGCATTTGACACCCTTTCTCAGCCTATCCTTCTCTTAAAACTGAGTGTAAAAGATTCTATGTGTGCTGGTTCTTGGAGCACTGTCGATAGCACTGTGCTCCCGTTGTTGATCGATTTGCTCGAGCGGGCACTAGTAACATCTCCATTGTGAGAATGGTTACTGTTTTTGGCATATCGAGTACGTCACAGGTAGCTTGCCAGGCTTTGCCATGAGGGTGGGATACTCTCGATAGCTTGCAGGGCTCTCTGAGAGGGGCGGAGGAATCCGTGTGCAAGGCACATGCCCTACCCGTTGTGCTATCGCTCCAGCCCAGGTTCTTGGAGATCTTCTTTTTTTTTCCTTCACTTTTTGGGTCACACCCGGCGATGCACAGGGGTTACTCCTGGCTTATGCACTCAGGACTGAGTGGTGCTCAGGGGACCATATGGGATGCTGGGAATTGAACCTGGGTCGGCCAAGTGCAAGGCAAATGCCCTATCTGCTGTGCTATTGCTCCAGCCCCGGAGGTCTTCTTACAAAAGGAAAGTATTTGGTCCCATGGGGCCACACCCACAGTTACCAGTCTGATAAAGTATATCTCACTTCCTATTCAGTGATGTTTCACCTGCTCTGCCTGACTCTGACCCTGCATTCCTCAATAGCTTCCATCAGGGCTTGAATTTGGGTTTTTTTGTTTGCTGTTCAGGTTGAGATTCAGTGGCTTTTCTCCACTTATTAGTCAGTGTGTTTCTTCATCCATGTACCTACGTAAGGGTTATTTGCCTGTCTTCATCACCATCCCTCGCTTCCAGGAATTAGTCTAAAAGCCTGTGCATAGTGCAAATATTTTTTCTGTGTTGGCCTTTGTCACTTCATTTAATAAGGACATTATGTTTCGAGATTTTAGTTGTAAGTACTCAAATCTAATCAGTCAGTCGCTTCCTTTCCAGCGCCTGGCTCTTCTCATCCTAAGAAATAGTTTTCTCCCAGACCTGTGTTAAAAATAATTGCTTGGAGTTGAAGGGACGGTACAGAGGTTAAGGTACTTGCCTTGAATGTGGCTGTGGCTGTGACAGTGGTTCGAACCCCACACGGCCTGTGGTCCCCTGACCACTGCTGTGTTTGGCTCCTGAGCATAGGAGTGGTCCCTGAGTGCCACTGGGCCTGACCACTCTCCCAAAATAAAAATTTAAAAAATTTGCTTGTCTTCTATTTTAATAATTTTATGATTTGGTTTGTTGTTGTTACAATTAAATCCTTGATTCATAGGAATTGAATTTTGCAATATAGGGTAGGAATACATCCTCACACTTGACATTTCTCTCTAACTGGAACACTGATTGATCTGATATGGCCTTTTGACCATGGTGTCATGTGTATGTTTGCAAATCTGTTGTGTGCCAGGATCTGAGTAATTCCACATTAATCCTTACTTTTGTGAGGATTCTGAAGTTATTTAATAGGATGAACTTCATTCTGTATGAAAGTTTTGCTTTTATTTTGCTCTTAAAATGTGTGCAGTTTCAGAACAATGATAATTCAGGATTATTTACTGGTATTTGGGGTTACTGGACACCAGAAGAGCCATATCTCGATGAAGCAGGGCTTTGCCAAGTCTAAAGCTGAACTTGACAGTGTGAAGGCCAGAGAGTAGTTCACCCCCGATGACTGTGGGACCGAGAACATCCCAAATCCTGACTTCTGGGGATCTGCACTCCAATAGCGGGTCCTGCACTCCAGTGAGCCTCGGAGCCTACCCCTCCTGAGTGTCTGCTCCCCACCCCACCCCAATAAATTCAGCTTCTCAAATCATACTACCCGGTACCATGTCCATTGTCAGCCATGGAACAGCCATTTATTGAGCTTGGATTCCTTTTTGTGTCTGAGGATCATGGCCCAGGTAATAGGACCCCCAGTCTTTGAAATCTGAACCTGAGGTGTATTTCCACCTTCAGTTACATTTCTGGGGTTCACAGCTATGTTCCATGCCAGGACCCCCGAGACATTGGAAGATCCATTCCCACAAATTGCTGGGACACTTTTGGGGGGACCTCCAAAATGGTGCTCAGAAAATTCAGGGGCCCTGTGGTTCGAACCCCACACGGCCAGGGATTCTTGGCCAACCAGCTACTGGTTCAGTGCAGGAACCCGAGAATACAGTCGTGCTCGGTCCCTGCAATGCTGGGGATACCCAGACCACCCCAATAATGAGCACTGGGCTCAGTCTTCTGGAACAGCACTGACCATTGACCGCGGCACGTTTAAGGAGGGGAAAGTCATGTTAATTGGAAGGATCAGGGAAACTTGGATCAGAGTTGACATGTAAACTGTACCTTAACCTTAGGAGTTTGTCTGGATTGCAGCTCAAACAAATAAATGAAGGACAAAAGTGCTCGTGAGTGACCCAGGCTGAAAATAGCCAAGGCAAACTGCAGAGAGTGAGCCAGACTCTGATTAGTACACAAACTATGTCCCCAGGACCTAGTTCTCTGTGTTTTTTGGAGAGCACCTTTCCTTGTCAGTTCTGGTTTTGTTTCCTTGTACACACACACCCCTTCGCAAGTGATCGCAACACCTGGGAGTTTCCAGGCCCTTTCTTAATGCCTGCGGAGACGATCTCTCCCAGAACCCCGAGGCAAGCGTCAGTAGGGCTGGTGGAATCCTGTCCGTGAAGAGAGGAGGTGCTGGGGTTACCTGGGGACACTGTGATGGAGTCAGCCTGAGTCACGTGCTCCCCCTGTGTGACTCTTCCAGGGAGACCTGAGCTCTGATGGACCAGGAAGAAGCAGGACGGTGCCCAGCTCTCATGCCCACAAACACAGCAGGGAGAACATTCTAGAATAGCAGATAGGTCTGAAGCCTCAGGGGAGGGGGCTCCCTGACACGGGGTCCCTGCAGTCGCTTCTCATTAAGAGACTGAAAGGGCAGAGAGTGAAGCATTCTGGGTGGATTTTGCGTCTTATTCACGCACCAGAGCACTTTCGGGGGGGGGGGGTCATGGGATATGTTCCTTCTCTCCATTTCCTAAGGGGTTTGGCGGGAAAGGGATGCTGCTGTGCTGTGTTTACAGGGAAGCAGGGCTTCCTCACAAACTGCTCTCCAACTGTTTCAAGGGGCCAGAGACTGATTCTGACAGAGTGGACATCCAGAGGCTACAGTCCTTCCCCTCCCCCACCTCTCCGACCCACACACTCACGTAAGCAGCTCTCAGGCATCCTCAGACTTATCCAAGGATTCAGTGCAATTATGTCTTCCCAGAAAGGATCAGATCACGATCACGACCATCCTGTTCTTCGTCGATTGCCTCGAGCAGGCGCCAGTAACGTCTCCTTGGCCCTAGCCCTGAGATTTTTTTTTTAAGTGCCATATCCAAGGCTCTTTCAGGGTTAGGAGAATGAGACCCATCATTGTTACTGGTATTTGGCATATTGGGTACCCCACGGGGAGTTTGCCAGACTCTGCCGTGTGGGCAGGTTACATTCGGTAGCCTGCCAGTTTGTCCAAAGTAGGAATGAGATATTAAGATGTCACGCAGCCGCGTGCTTCTGGGAGCTGAGTGTGATAATCTCTGGATCCTGGTCATTGTTGGGGTTACACGGCAGTTGGTAGGTGTAACTGTCTAGCTACTGGCAGGTCCAGTCCCAAACCGTGCAGGCTTGGAGATGTCAGCCCCGGGTCCCACACACCTGGGTTCCTCTGCCAGTTCTTTTATGTGTGAGGCTCATCCAAGTGTGTGGAGAGTGGTCCCAGCATGGCCTTGGCTGGGGCCCGGAGGTCTTCAGCTTTCCTTTCACATATACTAAAATTGGAAAGGATCAGATATCCAGGAAAAAAGACTTCTTGTTCCCCAAGGCGGCCCTGCTCCCCAGCATCTCACCACAAACCTACGTTATTATCTGTACTTCTGAAGGACTGGGGGACCCCACCCATCCCCTCCATTCCGCCTCCCACCCCCCGTAGCTCCCGTGTTTATTTGCTAGAATGGTGCAGAACTCAATTCATTCACTAGTCCATAGGTTTAGGCCAAAGGATTTTATTCAGGATCTCGCCTGCACGGCAGAGCCTGGCAAGCTACCCGTGACGTATTCAATATGCCAAACACAGTAACAACAAAGTCTCAAAATGGAGACGTTACTGGGCCCGCTCGAGCAAATCGATGAACAACGGGAGGACAGTGTTTGTTTTTTTGTTTGTTTGTTTGTTGCCCATGGAAGAGATGCTTAGGGCCAGCCTTGGGGAACTCTGGAGAGCTGTGTGATGACACT